GGAGAAAAGGCTTTTTTAACTGTATCCCACTTCTGCCCAGAAGAGGCCATGGTGGCAGTTCAGCATGTCAGAGTTATTCTCCTGAAGGATCATAAAACGAAGCCAGATGGTTTCTTTAAAGACAAAGTATGAGGTCATTCACTCAACTCTGTCAGTTTATTCTAAAATGGTTCATAAATATTCACATCTCCCAGGTCAGATGGGCTAGGCTGACCCAAAGCTGCTCCATTTTTGATGGGATGTTTCTGAATTTACAGGAAATAATAAAGATATGAAGGAAGAAGAAATATTTTACAAGACATATTCCAAAGTGATTGATGAGAACAGGTAAAACATGGAGAAGGTCCCTGGGTACAGAAGAATGTGTCACCTTCGTGGTGCTTTGGGAGCATGAACCGCAGATATCACCAGTGTCATTCCCTCGCCCAGTCAGCTCCCTTGTCCAGAAGCACTATGTCTTGCCCTCTGATGCTTATAGAGCTAGTGTGGGCCAATCTTAGGGCATGTCCTGTCGTCCCACATCACACCTGTCCTCTAGGAACTGAGGAGGGTATGTCTCTCCCGTAAATACATGCTTCCCCTTAGGTGATTGTCAGAGATTTCATAGAATAAAGGTCATCCCCAAGTCCGGTGTGGTGTCATAAGGTTCAAAGGAAAAGAAACCCAAGGGAGCCTGTGTGATTACAGGTCTGTAAGGTCTACCCTGCCTGGTGTATTTGCATTTAAAGAATTCATATACGTTGGGTTCCCTGGGATACACCTAAATTGTGTTTGGAGGCTTTTACAGGACAGGCTATGCTTTCTCCTCAGAATCTTTCCTAGGCTTTCTCCTAGAAATCTCTGTCAGTATCCTCATGAGTTACCTGTGTTGAGTTCTAATTATAATTTTTTTTCTCCTTTCATCTGCCTCAGAGATTTCCATCTTTCTCTGAAATATTATGAAGCAGTAAAGGTACAAGAGTTGAAGCAGCGCTTGCAGAAGAGAAGAGATTCTTGCATTATGGTCCGTCAGAACCTCAAATGCCTCCTCACCGCAGGTGTCACTTACAGACACCACCAACAGCTGTCTCAGTGGCCCCAGCTGATGGAGCGCCTTGCCCATAGGCTTAGGCAAGGTGAAGTAGCCTTGTCCCTTGTTACCACTTGGCTTCTCCAATGTGCACAGCTCATGTGCAATTCCACCACATAAGTCAACTGTGTAGCTGCTCTCCTGTGTAGCCATTTTCCTGGGAGCCTTGACAAGTCAGGACTACCTCAGAGGGAGGATAGAGGAAAAACATGCAGGGCAGAGGCCACGGCTCTGCACTTGTTGCTTTTCTCCCTGTATCCTCACAGGAAGATGAAGCTTGGCTTGTTAGATTGATGTCAGCCTGGGCTAAGATGATCTCCCCAACTCCCATGCTTTGTTTTGTGTTGAGGGGTGAGGAGTGGAGATGGATCCTTCAAGGTTTCTCTTTCTTCGCTCTTTATGTTATGTGTCACATGAAAATCATAGTATTTATGCTGGGAAAGGACTAATGTCCTCACAAGTCCACATCTTGTACAGCAATTAACCACTAAGAAGAATATATGCAGTGTATTATTTGTTGAAACTGTACTTTTGATTTGATTTGAAACTGTCTCATTGCTATATGTTTATCAATAAAACTTTGAAAAGAAAAAAAAAAGAAAATATATTTGAAAAAGAAAAAAGGACTAATGTCCTTGTGTTACAATATAGGCAGTCACAGGGTGTGGTTTAGGGAGTTTATTTAGTAGAATATGGTGATAAGATGCCAGTTACATTGAAATGATTAGGAGAGAACATAAAGAAAATTTCCCTCAAGTGAATGGCAGAAGCAGGACAGAGGCAGTTGAGGAGTGTGCAGACATATGGACTGTTGGAGGTGGGGCTGTTTTCTGCCTGTCCTTACCAAAAACGTTAGATTTTACATGAAGCCTATGGTAAAATGCAGAGCCATTGACCCTGCAGAACTCGGTACAGTGCAGAAGTCCAGGAGAGTTGTACTGCTCCACTACCTATTCATCTGGATGACATATGGTGTGGTTTTTTTGCCCATTTAAAATCAGCATTTTCCACTAAGGATACTCTTTAGATCATGACCACATAGGCTCATAGTTCATTTCAGAATTGCAAGGTCTGGGGCCGGGGAGATGGCTCAGTGGAATAAGCGCTTCCCTGGCAAGCGCAGGGCCTGAGTTCAATACCCGGTTCTGCAAAAAAAAAAAAAAAAAAAAAAAAAAAAAAAAGAATTGCAAGGTCTGTCTCTATGTCCATAGGCCATTATGTTTCTATTAGCAGGTGAAAACTTAAAGACTAACCTTGCTATTTTTAATTTTTTTATAGAAAACTTTGAACATGAGGAAGGAGAGAAAAAATCATGGGGCTCACTGTTCCCAAGGTACTACTGATCAGGGAAGGGGTGATCATACAGATGATGGAGAGGGGACTGGATGGCAGGCACCAAGGGCGAAGAACTACTGGTGGTGGCACTGGGTTCATTCACTCAACCACACTGTATGGTCTATGGGGTGTGTGTGGTATTTTCAAGTCTGTCTCACCCAAAGGCTTAGGAATCTCTCAACCTTCCTGCAATGACTCATTTACTTCTGTGTGGCCAAGAGTGTGTGAAATGCCTGTGTTTTGGGGCGTAGTTCATCTTTGGATGGGAAGAGGATCATACCAAATGAATAAACTACCCAAATAAAACTTCAAATCCTATTCTAACATTAAGAGAAGGACAACTGGGAGTCCTATGGCATCTGAGTCTATCACTAGTTTCAGTCACCCATGCAGCCATGCCACAGTCCTGAGCCATTTTATGCAAAGTAGAGTATGAAAAGACAAGATCACTATTCACCACAAAATGAGTTGAGTCATACTTGAAAGATATTTTGGGTAAAGTCTTATGGAAATTTTCCTAAAATTGCTCAACTGTCACTATGCCACTTCCGTTCTATTCACTTCTTCTATCCCACCATAGGACACTGTCCCAGGAAGACCCTGAAGAACTCAAGAGACAGGACCATGGAGAACAACCGGCTAATGGGTGCAAGCCAGCTGAGCGCCTCCTACATGACCTTCTGTCAGGTGAGGGAGTCAGCTGTCCCTGCTACCTTGTGTTTCTCTGAGGTCCTGGATCACAGGCTATTCCACAAGTTGCATTTTCCCAGGTTTATTCTGTCCCAGGACATTTGGGCCATGACAGGGTCATACTTCCTGGTAGGAAGACAGCAGAAAATGAGAGGGAGGAGCCAGTGTGAAAGGACAGGAGGCAGTTAGCTGAGAGGAATAGAGCCCTTAGCAGCAAGCACACTAGTACTTTGTAGGCATTGTCCTTGGATTGGTCTTGTCTTTGCCAAATATGAGAGCATGGTCCATAAGTCCTTCTGAAATGTCCGTTTCTTAACTGTCAAATGGCCCCAAATGTCTTGCATCCTAGCCATGGTGACTAACATGGAGGAAATTCCCCAATTCTCTTCAAAAAGGATGAAGGCCCTGCGTGGGAGGTTGGATGACCACTTTGATGCAGAGGAACTGAGAGTGGGCAGGCTGGGGCACACTGAAATGTTCCCACCTAGACGGTGCTCCTAGAGAAGTCACCATAAGCCCTGAGGCACTGATAAGAATAGAGAGACCTGGGAGGACATGGCCATGTGTCTTTGGCTCAGAGAAGAGCATTGGCTCTGTGCCAGAGCTCTGATATGGCACTGAGTACCCTCCTTGTGGCCTCAGGGAGGACACAGTTGGAAATGTCCAGTGGGATCTGGGAAAGTAAATGGTGTCCTGGGAGAAAAGGCTTTTTTAACTGTATCCCACTTCTGCCCAGAAGAGGCCATGGTGGCAGTTCAGCATGTCAGAGTTATTCTCCTGAAGGATCATAAAACGAAGCCAGATGGTTTCTTTAAAGACAAAGTATGAGGCCATTCACTCAACTCTGTCAGTTTATTCTAAAATGGTTCATAAATATTCACATCTCCCAGGTCAGATGGGCTAGGCTGACCCAAAGCTGCTCCATTTTTGATGGGATGTTTCTGAATTTACAGGAAATAATAAAGATATGAAGGAAGAAGAAATATTTTACAAGACATATTCCAAAGTGATTGATGAGAACAGGTAAAACATGGAGAAGGTCCCTGGGTACAGAAGAATGTGTCACCTTCGTGGTGCTTTGGGAGCATGAGCCGCAGATATCACCAGTGTCATTCCCTCACCCAGGCAGCCCCCTTGTCCAGAAGCACTATGTCTTGCCCTCTGATGCTTATAGAGCTAGTGTGGGCCAATCTTAGGGCATGTCCTGTCGTCCCACATCATCCCTGTCCTCTCACGTCTGCTAACTCAGCAGGGTGAGTCTGTCCTGTGAAGACACACTTCCTCTTAGGTGACTGTCATGGCTTTTACAGCATAAAGGCCTCCCAAGTCCAGTGTCACAAGGTTCACAGGAAAAGAAAGTACAAGAAACCTGTGTGATTACTGCTCTGTAAGATCTACCCTGCCTGGTGTATTCACATTTTATTTCATTTAGTTAATTTATTTTAATGGATTTAGTATAGGATCTCACTACACAGCTCGCACTCATAGTGATCTTCCTGTTTTCAGCCTCCCCAGAGCTGGAATTACATGCATGCACCACCATGCCTGGTCTCAGTGGCAGGCTCAGGGTGCCAGGGAGCAGCACTGCCACAGCCTGTAGCACCAGCAATCGAACCCCGATCCCTGAGCCTGCCCAAGCAGGTGCTTAGTCCACTGAGCTATGTCACCTGCCCTGTATTCACATTTTAAAAATTCATGTACATCTGGTTCACTGAATGCACTGGAATGCACTGAATTGTGTTTTGAAGGCTTTCACAGGACACCCTTCTAGAAGTCTCTGTGCAGTGTCCTCCTGAGTCATCTGTGCTGGGTTGTAACTATGTGTCTTTTTCTCTGTATCTTGCAGTGGAAATTTGCATCTTGCTCTTCAGTGTCAGGAGCAAGCACTGGCCCAGAAATTAAAGCATCGGCTGCAGAGGAATAGAGATGGGTGCATCTTCCGGCGTCAGCGCCTCAAATGCCTCCTCACGGAAGCAGTCACTGACACACAGCGGGAGCAACTGGCTCAGTGGTGCCAGCGGGCTGAGCGTCTTGCCTGCAGGCTCCGGCAGGGTGAAGGTTTCGCAGGACCTCGCTAACCCTGGGCTTCACCAAGGTACCTGGCTCCTGGGAGGCTCCATCGCTATGGCCAAGTGCATGTCTGTTCTCCTGCTATCTGCCTGCCATGGAAGTCTTGCCAGATCAGGACTGCCTTGCAGGAAGGACAGAGGAGAAGCACACTGTAGGAGGCTACGGCACCGCAATGCTTGCCTTTTTCCCTGCTGGAATGTGGTGTGGGCAGCAGGCAGCATGTGTCCTTTGTCCTCACTGGAAGGCAGGTTGGCAGAGGAAGGCTTGTGAGGTGGCCAGCAGCCTGGGCTAAGATGAGTTTTCCCCAGGTGTCCTCATGCTACCTTTATATTAGGGCAGGATTTCTGTTTCCTCATCTCTCTATGTTATGCATTGCATGGCAATTGTCACATTGAAATAGGGGAGCATCACTAGTGTCCTTTGAGTAAGATACAGGCCCTCCCAGGGTACAGCTTAGGATCCTGGTATAGTAGAATGTGGTGCTGGGGTGTTGGGTACTAGCAGGGGACATGGAGAGAGTTTCCTTCAAGGGAGGATGGAAGCAGGATGGAGGACCCATGGGTATGGATTGTTGTGGAGCAGCATTGTTCTTCCTTTCCTCGAGGCATGGGGAGATGTGGAGCCACTGACCCTATAATCTGCTTCTGTGGCAAGCTGGTGGGGGGGTGGGGAGCACTAGGCTTCTCTTCTCCAGTATCTGTTGTTCATAGGTCATTCCTTTTTTTTTTTTTTTTAATTGTATTTATTTATTTGTGTGTGTGTGTGTGGCCAGCTCAGCACCTGGGGGCAGGGCGGGGGCAGGATTGGCTGGCATGTGGTGCTGGGGGATTGAACCGCGGTCCGTGTGCTTAGTTTGTTCTAAGTAGGTGCTTTAGACCACTGAGCCATCTCACCAGCCCCAGGCCATTTCTTTTTAGACAAACTTATCACCTTCCTGAATTCACAGAGAAAATAGCTGGCTGTGCCCTTACAGGTACTCTTTTCCCAGAAAATGAGAAGTGCTTCCTAATGTTCTAATTGGCTTTTTTGAATTTGTGTTTTAGGAAACCACGAACATAAGGAAATTTGCGAAGAAGAATTTGGCAAGAGTTCATGATGCCAGGGGGCCATGAATTCTGGATTTTACCATTTACATTCACCCGCCCAACCTCATGACCCGTTCTTTTTTGTAAATTTAGTTTGTTTTAAGTCTAAAATAAATAAATAGTATGTTCTTTCATGTTTCTGAAGGGTCTTCTCTAGTCTACAGTTCCTTATTTTATTTTTTCTTTTTCTTTCCTGTGATTCTCCCTGTCATTCACTTGAGGATACTGAGGGACTTTTCCTTCAGGGTTTTCTGCAGTCTGTATTTGCCCAATTTTTCCCTTCATATATTTTTATATATACTTCCCTAATGTGCCCTTTCTTTCTGTTTGTGTTATACCTAGAGCTGTGTCTGGCTAATAAAGAAAAACAAAACCCTCCCTTAGAATTGAAAACACTTCAGCATCTGCCTTTTAAACATTTCAAAAACAAAGAACTCACAGAAATAATCCTTTGTACTATTTACACAATGATAGAAAACTCTTAGAAAAGCTATAATTTTTTTAACTGATTCTTTTTTTAAAATGTATTTAGTACAGGGCCTACGGGGTGTCACTATACAGATTGGACTCATAGTGATCCCCTTGTCTTCAGCCTTCAAATGCTGGGATTACAGGTACAGGCCACCATGCCCAATCTCAATCGCGTCTCAGCACACCCCAGGCGTGGGGCTGGCACGATGCACTGGGGATCAAACCTTGGTCCCTGCATCTGCCAAAGCAGGTGCTTTAATCTGCTGAGCTATACGACTGGCCCTAAAGCTATAATTTTTTTTAAGAAAAAGATACTTTATATGGCTTCAATTATTCATTTACATTCCACTGAGTTTTAAATGAAACAATACTGTGGTTTCACTTCTTCATCCCAAATGGTCAACAGTCACATATGGTCGGCAGCTACTCTGCTGGAATGAAATGGGGGAACTTCTTATGGTAAAGCTCTTGCAAGTTGGTTACATAAATAATATATCATCTCCTTTTTCATTACTGTCACAGGGAGGTTTTGGCATCTTGAAAGGTGTGCTTGTGGCAGGAGAAATTGAAGCCAGGGAGAGCAATGCCGCCCTTCATGGGAAAGGAATCTATGCTGCTCCCTCAATGAGGCTGCTACAGAGAATGAGGGCTAATACTGTAGCTTGTGATCAGCTTGGAGTTACTTTAGAGCAACAACAACAGTGCACAATTACCTGGTTCATGAGGGGAGAGGGGATGAATAAATGGTGAAAAAGAAACGTCCCTACTGCTGAGATGAGCCTTGGGTTCCCACACCACCATTTGTTCCCGTCTTTGTCTTTTGGCTGCAAGAGAATTCATTTCCTGCACAGTGTGGCGCAAAGTGTGCTCGGTGACCTTTGTGTGACCAGGTTAGCCCCTTAGGATTGACTGATAGTCGAGGCTGGACCTCTTTGGCTCCTGCTCTGGACCCATAAATTTCTTCCCATTGCATAGAAGAAATGACAGAGTAGCATGTCAGGGGATTACTGGTGGCCACCTGCTTGTCATCTCCAAGGAAGCCAACTGGAGTGTCATCTCTGATGGAATATTTAAGATTTTTTTTCCTCAATTCTTCAGTCTCCTATTATATTTTGCTCTAAGCCCCAGGAAGAGCTAGGCCACCCTTTCAGCACTTTGCTCAAGTATCTCCTTAGCTAACTATCCAGTTTTATCACATGCACCATGTACCGCCCACAAAACACTAGAACAGACTTCACGCATGCTCTTTGCCATATTGTGATGAGGACCGCCTTTCCTACAGTTCCATTACGCTCCGCATTTCATCGTGTGACTTCCCCGAGCCCCCCATTCTCTGCATATATTTTTAGCTTGCGCTGAAGAATTCCTCCAGTTCTCCCCGTTCCCCAGCTCCAGTGGCGCTGCCACTTTCTTGTATATTTATTAGAACAGCACCCAAGTTTTTGGAAGCAAGACCAATGTTAGGGATTGTAAAGGGCTGAACAAAAGTTTATGTAAAATATGGAATTTATTCTTGACAGAGATTATAGAGACAGAAATTTCCAAAATGAAACAGGTAGACATACAGGCAAGCCAACCTACATGCCTTTCCAATCAGTGTAGAAAGGAAGAAGACCAGGTAGAACTAGTCAGGCGGGAGTATTTATTTCTCTCTTAGTTATGAGACAGCTCTGCTGATGAGGTCCAGAGCTGCTCCTCTTCCTCCTACCCAGGTCCTGACTGCGTCTTCCCTCCCCCTTCAGACAGTGGCCAGCGGATAAGCACTGCTCCAGCAGAGTAATATCATGATCACTTTCCAATTTAGGGGCCCGTGTTTCATGGCAGGATGGTTGGGCATCCTCGAGGTATTACAACTGATACTGCAGAAATACAAAGGGACACTAGGGATAGTTATGAACAACTGCACAACAGATAGCTGAGAAAACTACACCAGATGGATTCATTTCTGTACACAGATACCTACAAAACTGGCCACCAAAAAAAAAAAAAAAAAAAAAAAAAATCCTGAGCAGTTCCATAAGGAGCTACAGTTTTGAATCTGTATAGTCTTCCAACAAACAACAGCACAGGACAAGATAGCTTAACTACTGAATTTTACAAATCATTTCAGGCACAATAAAAACCAATTTTTTTTGTCTTGCTTTGGTTTTTTGAGACAGGTCTCACTTTGTAGCCCAGGCTGGCCTCAAACTACCAGTGATCTCCCGCCTTAGCCTCCCAAGGGATAGGATTACAGGCATGTACCACCACACCTGGCTCCAATTCTTTCTTTCGGTCTTTCTTTATTTCTTTCCTTCTTTTTTTTTTTTTTTTTTTTTTTTTTTGTATTTTGTGCAGGGTCTCACTATGCAGCTTGGACTAGTAGTGATCCTCCTGTTTTCAGCCTCCCCAGCACTGGGAT